TCTTTTTCGTTTTGTAATGCAAATGATGCTTGTTGGCCACGTCTTGCAGCAGGTTGGCAGCGTTTCTTTTAATATTGTAAACCGTGTGAACCGTCACTCCGAATTCTTCGGCTAAACTTTTCGGAGGCACGTTCTCTCGAAGCTTCTTAACTATCTCCAGCCGTTGCAACACCGTCAAGTGTTTGTATTTCTTTCTGCTGCCACTGTCCGACATAATTAGGGCCTTCGTAGGGTCGCTCGATCGATGAAATTCGTTGAACTCGAATTAGAAAATCACTCGATGGATGAACGAATCACTCCGAATAACACCGATCCGCGCGCTTTAACGAGCGATATCGCGGCGAAGCATAGCACCGGTTCAATTTACTATTCAGTTTGTCAAAAAGATTTAGCTTTTTATACAGTGTTGGAAACCCGACGAGAAAAGTACTCGAACGTTCTGCAACAAAAATGCTTTCATTGGTGAAACGATGTCAACGGTTCGGAGCTCGAGAAATTTCTGCATTCGAATACAATCCGCGACAATACTATAAGGTGCGTCTCGTAAGAAGAAAATTCTTCTTCCGCGTGAAATCAATTATTTGTTTACTTCTCGGGACGTTCTCCGGAGCTACAATGACCAAAAGAGGTAAAAGTGTGTACAGACATCGCGTGTCTCGTGGAAATGAAGATCGTGCTATCAGTTCCTTACCTAATCGCTCGGATTTGAGCGATTGTTATCACGAGGTGGATGTAATTAACACTATGCGATCGTTTATTTTCATTCGTTCGATAGTTTATTCAATCTAAGGGATATGAGAACGTGAAGCAACGTTCACAGTTTAGCACTTCAATTGATATTTCTATACGAATGCGCCGGTTTGCATACGTTCGCATACCTTTGCTTTTACTTCTAAATCAACTCCGTTCAAAGATCGACGAATGATTCATTCGTTAGCGTTCGCACCAATTTCTTTCGTCGCGATCTTTTCTTGGCGCTTTTAGTACCTTCGGTCCTAATGTTAAATGCGTCCTGATACGTTAATCTTTTCGAATTTCGCCACTATTCCGTGGCTCGCATCAATTTGTCGATCTCCTTCGCTCGAAGAGACAAATCAAACTCACGGTCCGCAGCAAAATAAGTCGAATCACACATTTCGAAGCATCTCGACATAGCGAATATTTCACGACACAGTGAAACGAACCATTTGTTTTCCAAGGATACGACTCGGCCGTGCACGCTGCAAAAGCAATAAAAAGAACTTATTTCGAAAGGAAAGGAATAGATAAGTCTTATAGTATTGTCGCGGAGTATAGTCTGCAAAAGTTGGGAGGAAAAGTGAAAGTTGGTAACGAAGCAAGGGATGGTCGCTGGCGAGGATGTCCGGTTTTGAGATCTTGTAGGAATTCGGACGAGGGAAAAGGAGCATGAACATGACAGAAATAGANGAGAGAACGCTCGAGTTTTATAAGTCGGCGAAAACCTAAGTTCGAAAAAATGCAGTCGATGCAACTCGGTCGGCGGTCGAACTCGCTACAAAATACGCTATTTTCGCCGAGGCCCTTACGGGTAAGAGGATAAAGACTCGGTTAGGTATACATACTTATGTTCGTAGAAGCGCTTGCGTGTCTGAGAACAGTTCTAAATGTTTGTCAATGTGAACGATCACTCCGGAGAATATGCAAGAAACGTCTTAACGTCCTAGAACGAAACATCGTACAATTCCATAATTCTGTGAACGATCGTTCTCGCATCTCCGATTTCTTCGCAATAGCACAGTTAGAAGAAGATTCGGAATGTTTCATAACAGGCTTGTCGCATTCAATTCGAAATAATTTCAAGCAACAGAATTGCACCGAACGCTGCTCCGTTGTTGTTCGCACAGGGGTTAAAGCCACTCCCATCGTTCAGACATCGTTTCGCATCGTCCCACCCCCGCTTTCGATATGTATAAATAATGCCTGCATACGTATCACACGTACATAATACATATATGTATAAAGATACGCGATAGCTTGTCGACGTCGAGTATAGCATATACATATGCATGTACCCTAAGGAAGAAAAATTCCAGAAAAACCGCTGTAATTGGACAACGAGTTGGAAACGTATGGAAGCTAATGATAAAGCGTTGTAAGGAGATTAAAGACCCGGACAACCACGGGGCTGCAATAGGAGCAGAGTATTTTCTAAACGTTTGGCATGAAAGGCTGGGACGCGTAGGTCCCAAGAAAATTGAACGAATTGGACAAACTGCAAAGAAATATAGTAAGCTGCTACGAATGCGTCTTCTTATATCAGTTAGTATTTTTTTTTTCATTCGTTTGATATCGCGAGAATGGTATGATTGCGAGGGTCTTTGTCACGGGGAGATAAACGTTCTCTCGCGGTCAGGAAAATTTACTACGCGAAGAGTGGGGTGGCGACGCATGCGCAGGGAGTTCCGATAGATCGGGACCGGGATTCGAATCCGGATCTTTCGCTTGCCAGGCAACTGCTTTAATTAATTAAGCTATCTCGACCGGTCAACGACGCGTTCTCTTCCAGTCCTTATAAACGCAGGCGAACAACGCGTGTTGAAAATATACCGGACTCCTACAGATCGTAGTTCAGAATTATAATGTTCACCCGGTAAACGCGACACGCCGCTGCGCGGGTCTCAGATGGCGCACGCGTCACCTCGCGTAACTTATTTTCCTGACTACTCTGGGCACTTACGCGGCGCGTCGCAGCGACTTGTCTTTCTGACTTTAAATATCTCTATCTTTAACATTAAATATCTCGAAATTTATAAGCAGTCTGCGCTCAAAACCGGGTACCATTAGATAGAAGAGGAAAAGCTTGTTCGGAATATCGTACTTCAACCAACTAATAAAAGCACATTACTTTTTTCCAAATTCCCTCGATTTATTTCTTTTTAATAATAAAATAAGATTACCTTATTTCTCATTATCTGGATACAGTGTTTAATATTATCCATGCTTCGTTCGCATACGAATCAATTTTCTCTGCATAGAATCGGCGCGTACGCGTTAATAACTGTGTAAGTGTAAAGCTATATCTAAGCTTTATACGATGTCATCGCAAAAAGTATAGCCTATAGTTATCGGACGCCGATAATATAAATAAAAAAGATACTGCAGGGTTAAAAATTGTGAATTATCTTCGATAAGTCTGTACGAGCATATAGAGAAAATAAATGAATTTCGCTTTCGATTCTCCGATATCGCTTATTTCGTTATTTCGACAATCGGACGCCGTCGAATAAGCAAAGTTTATACGTTGAAAAAATAGTGTCCGAACGAAACGTACGCTTGTTAACAGGACGGTATGTTCGCAGTTTGAAAAACTGGACGCCGATAAATGAAATACGAGCCGTTTATTGTTTCGAATCGCGGAATAACCGATAAGAAAAAGGGGGCAAATAATAAAAAAAAAACATATTGTAGTTGGATGATAAATAAATTGACGAATGTCGTGAAATGAATGCGAAAATGGAGATGGAAACGAATACGAAAACGAGGATGAGAATGCGGACAAGGATGAGGATGAGACTGAGATCGAGAATGAGAATGATAATGAAATAAAAAGTACGTACTTCGTCCAAGCGCAGTAATTCTTCCGCGGACATACTACTTCGGTCGCGTTTCTTGACATCTTTTCGCTCCTTTTTTTCGCGCTTCCTCTTCTCCTTGTCGTCCTTCTCCGTGGCTTTCTTCATAAAGTTAAACATCTTCTGACTCACGATAAAGATCTCGAGCTGAACGCCAGAAAGAGATACCACGAGATATCTCCTCTCTGAATTGCTCGGCCGACACACGCACACTTTTACGCACAGTCGCGTATTTCAGTCGACTCCACGAACATAACGCGATAGTGTCCATCGAACCGACCGTGTAGATAACACTGCATTCCGTGCCGAACTAAACAACTGAATAGACCATCTCTAAGGTAAAGGCGCGTTTCCACTGCGTCGGCTTTCGCCGATCGGCATTGTCGCGCGGCTTCGCTACTGATCCTGCTAAAATCCCGCGTTCCCATTGCGTCGGCACACGCCGGCCGGGAAGGGGAGTAGGCAAAGACAAACAAGTTTCAAGTGTTTAGTATCTCTTCGGTATCGTTCGAGAAGGGTACAGTTCCGCTCGAGAAGACGAACGCTATGCCGATTCGTTTTTCATCCGTTGTCGATAAATATCAAACGGAATCGTACCAGAAGGAGAGGAACCTTCGGCCGAGTCCTCCGCATGACGCACCGTGGGGCAGATGCGTGCCACAAACGCGGTAAAAAATATTTTATGTCCGAAATCGTGTGTGTCTAATGTATTTTTTTTTCAAATACGTATCGATTATAGCGTTATCGACCGATCGGGACAGTTGGAAGGAACATTTTTCTTGCGTCGTTCGAATAGATCACAGATTTTGTATTGGTTTTTTGTTTCTCTTATCGATAGACTTATAAGATCCAACGTAATTAGAAGTCTGCCTACAACATTATTAAGAATATTAGTCGAATGATATTGAAGCGACATCGGTAAATAACATTAGACGAATATAACATTTGATTTCCTGTTCAAAAAAATGTCTCCGCGAGTATCATCTGATCCTATGGCTATGCTCGCACATACCAGAGCCTCTTAGTTTACTTTTGTAACTGTTGCAATAGCAGCTAGTAGCAGTCGAATGTTTTTTTAACAGAAAGATAAAATTTCGCTCCTTAAAATGTGACCAAAACTGATACTGCTTCTCTCCGCATTCATAATTCAAAAATAGGATGAAAATTTAACATATTCAAGTAGGTATGGTTCGAGTCATCTAGTTCTGTTCGCAACAGGTAACTGGAAAAAAGACATAATACGTTATAGCTCATATGTTTAAAATGCTCAAAATTTTCTTTACTATAAGTATATTTTTAGAAACTTTTTACCGTGTTTGGCGTGCGATCGCCACCACAATTTCGGTCCTACATCAAAATTTGGGACAAAATTAAAAGTCCTAAAGGTCCTACAATTCTTCGTAAAAATCCTGCTAACACATACGATGAAAAAGATACAGTTTCATGAAAACAAGCTTAAACAATCTTAAATTTATCACGAAGTAAAACGAGCGAACAGTTACGGGCAATAATTTTGTAAAATACTAAAAATTATAAGGGGAAGTAACGGCTTCTCGAAAATACTGCTTGTTAAGCACGGGTAGATCGATGTTATCTACAATTTCTCATCGAGAAGACAAATGCGATGCAATCGGATCATTCGGAAAACCTAACTGTTTCTCGCTTACATTTGCGGATACGAGTGCCTGTCGTGGTACTCGGACCTGATTCGTTTGAAACGATATTGTTTGAAATATCATTCAAATAATACATTATTTTATTTTATAATTATTCGATGTAATCGTGAAGATTTCTTAAAGTAAAATCTTTTCGTCGATTCTTATTTTCCGGATCGTTTCTTTCGGCCAATTTGGAATAAACCGATATCATTGTTATTTTCAAACAACGGTCCGAGATAAATAATTTGAAATAAAATTTGCCCGGGTCTGTGCGGTACCTAGACGATGTCGAGCCGTCTCGTGGAAAGTGGCCTTCTCTACGAGTCGATTGCCAGCGTTGTTTGTACGGGACTTTCGATAACGCGAGAGGACAAAGCCGATAGCAAAAATACCGCTGTTAGGCTTTTCTTACCGTTCAGCATCGACCCAAGCCGAAACGGAAGCCATCGCTGCATCGTTAAGGCCGCGCGACAGTGCCGATCAGCAAAAGCCGACGCAGTGGAAAAGCGCCTTAAGGTTCCGATAGTATTGTAGAAAATGCAGGAGTAAAAGGCATGCATGCATGTATAGTCGACTCCGTATGATACACGCCGCATGAACACGAACCGGTAACAGGAAAATCTCTGTTACGACCGGAAATCGAGTAAACAACGATACGTTGCTTTCGATGTTCCGTTATTTTACAAAACAAATACGAGCACACACGCTTCGGTATTCCTGCTCAATCAATATTTACAGATTTACAGGTAGGATTGAGAATTCTATTTGCATGTGCAATTGTCGCTCGATTATCAATCAACGATCAACGAGCATTCACCGTACATACGCACGTACATGCGTATGTGCTACGGAATAATCGAACGAAAACGAATTTTCGGTAAACGTGAAATTATCGATATAAGATGTAACGCCCATAGGGGCGTGAACCTATACGAGGAAAGTGTTTTTCATGGGAGGTCGTTTCCGGCATTCGATCCCGGTAAGACCTATGAATACAGACTTTTCGAAGAAATGCTACCCCTTTCGTTCGTTCGACACCTACACATTTAACGACGCGTATCGCAAAACAACGCGATTATGGAAAAACAAATGAATATGTGTATTCTTAGAAATAACGCGTGATAGGTCAGCCCGCGTGCAATTTGTTTCGTACAATATGTAGTTTAGATCGAGAACGTTATATTGTTCTCTTTGCTTTATTCGTCGGTTGCTCGAAAACACAAATTAGTAGGAGCATGCATATTGGGTTTATCAAACCTTCGTTTCAGGTGTCAAATCCGTAGACTCGGTAGATCGACGAAACGAGGCGAAATGGAAACGTGAAAATCTAAAACAACCGCGTGTCTAAACTTCTATAAACAACGAGGTAACAAGGAAATACACGCGGAATAGGAAACGAGCAGAAAGCAAGGGAGAAGAAAAGCTAGAACGAAGAACACCTAGCGTAGGTCGTCTATAGTCTACATGTCACTTTCCACCACACCTTGTACTCCCGTTGTTTCGTTCGACTAAAACGTTCTGCTGGTAAACAACTGTCATGTAATCGAGAGACTAATTTTATACGGCGCAACAGCGCGATAAGTTAACGTAGTTTACGTCGGTGTCGAAGCGATCGGAAATTTTAACCACAAACGTACGACGAAGAAAAACCGTGATTCCAAATACACGAGATAGCTGACAGTCGACACAACACCAGACACACGTCACAGAACCGTCACCGTATCGCCACCCGCCATTCACCAGAACGAAAACGCGTGTTTAGAACGCGAACGACTATTCTAATGCGACGCACTATGTTAGGTAGAACACGAACACGAATACCATTGTTCAGTCGTAAAACGAGCACAGACGAACGTTCGAAGGCATACTCCAGCTTAGCCCATCGAATCGATTCTTTTATCGTTATTAGTAGATCAAAATTCAACGTCGCACTCGTGTCACACTAATAACTGTCATGGTAGACGACTCGACACAAGTTACAAGTAGAACCGGTGGCGACTGCTGGCGTCCTAAACTGAATCATGGCTCGCGAGGTGAGGCCCGCGCCCGCACCCTTCTTTCCGCAAGCCGTTACCGCGCATGCTCCACAAATCGATCATATGTTACGAACCGAATATGTAATAATATTTTTTTATTTAAATCTTTTTCACCTTAAATCTAATACGTTGAACGTTCTTGTATCGCAAGGTATTCGCGTACTTGTATACTATTTAACTTTGGAAGTTTTAAGAAAACGGTCGTTTTCCCAATGCGTTTAAATATTCTGCAAGAATGTTCTCTTTTTCAAAACATAAATCAATCTCGACGAAACATTTATATAATCGATTTGCATTCGTATCAAAGTAAAAATGTCGAATTTCTGTCTCGGATACTTTTACTCAGTCGACATCTTACTGGAATGAATTGTATAATCAAGTGTACCTTCCAACAGCTGGCAGCACACAATAGAATTTGCCGGATGAAAGAAACGATTATCGAGGGGTCTAACCAAGAATTCGTTTGCTAATACGTTTTGCCGTTTCATAGATTATCATTATAATCTTTTGCTTCTGATTTATTCCAGTGGTTAACAATGAGTTATATTTTATGAATATTGCCACAATGTTGCATGGATGTATTTGGAGTGCCCGTACTTTCGCAGAAATCGCCAAAATTACAACACGTTTACATTTTACTAAAACAACCAAAAGGATCACATTTTGTTGTTGGTCGCGTCGCCTGTGTACAGTAAATGCACAGTGCTCCACCATCGGTGAAATTATCGAACAATGGAGCCACCGGTTTAGTAAGGAAGGTGTTCCAGAACCCGTTGAATCGATCGAGCACATTGTTGCAAATGTCATAGGTACTAAAAAGGTACAAATGCAATGATCTACGTATGTTCGCCAGAATTAGATAACAGTTTACAAATTTGTTATTATCTCAACATTTTTCTCACTGTCAGATGCGTGTCATTTTCATCTAAAATACTTCAAAACAAACTTATATCGAGAATTGCTAATAAACTATACGCCGAAGAAAGAGTGTACGATAGATTATTAAGTAAAGATTGTGTCAAGTAAATAATTATTTGAAGTAATTTTATTTACCTTATTATATTCGAATGAACTATTCTGAATTGTATTTCCAGAGAGCTAGGTATCAGAGTGTTGTACCGAAAATTTATTTTCAGATAATAGATCTCGTAAATGTACGAAATGAGAAGCTTACGTCGGACCAATGTCAAAAGCTGGAATCGATGTGCGAATGCCGGTTATCTAGGTAAAACCAAAATGCACAGGGTAGATACATTTTGTTTGTAGCTTATAACTTAAAACTGTTTAAGGAAGTCTTGCTTTTACTTTTTACAGAATGCCTATTCAATACATAATAGGGGAATGGGATTTTCGTGATATTACTCTAAAATTAGTTCCACCAATTTTTATTCCACGGCCAGAGACCGAGATTCTAGTTGATTTTGTGCTCAAGAGAATAGACACTTTGCAAAGAATAGAACAGAAAGTTTTAGAAGTCGGATGCGGTTCTGGTGCAATATCCCTCGCGATAGCTCGTGCCAATAAAACAGTAATGATTTTTAACACGATCATCGACGCATCGATTTTATATCAATATTTAGTTTAATTTTAGGTAACATGTATAGCAGTAGACGCGAATCTACAAGCTTGCGAACTATCCGTGCAAAATCGAAATCAACTGGGTTTAGAAAATCAGGTTTTAATTGCACATGCCAAACTCGAGGACGACGGAAAGATGCAGTATTCGAATGTATTAAGTGGACCTAAAGATCTTGATCTAAATTTACAAATTTTTGACATTATCGTTAGCAATCCTCCATACGTACCTACCAATCAAATATCAAAATTATCTCCAGAGATAAAAATGTAATCAGACATACGTACTTTGATAGTTTTTATCGATATCGTACAAAATCTCTTAAATGCTATACTTTTTCATTTATATTATAGTTACGAAGATTTATTGGCGATCGATGGAGGAGAAGATGGTTTAAAAGTAATCAAGCCTTTATTAAAGTATGCTGCAGAAGTTTTAAAACCTGGAGGACGTGTACTTTTGGAGGTTGACTCTACTCACCCCGAATATATCAAATTTTTTACTGAAAAATACTCGATGCTTCAGCTGCAGTACGAACATACGTACAAAGATTTTTATAATAACGATCGATTTGTCGAGTTATCAAAAATATCATAGGATATAATATATTAGTAATATATATATATATGAAATTCATGTATATACATGTATATAATTAATAAAAATTATTCATAGAGGTATACACATACATTATTCATAGAGGTGGCGGATCAAACCGAGTCGAAATTGGCAAAATGAGTATTTTCTGTTTATTTTAGATTTACTTTAAAAAGACGAATTAAATGATTTGGCTTTGACGTTCATAGAAAATGATATAGTTAATATCGCCGCAGCATCTTGCCCCCCCCCCCCCCCCCCCCCCCCCCCCCCCNTTTTATAATAACGATCGATTTGTCGAGTTATCAAAAATATCATAGGATATAATATATTAGTAATATATATATATATGAAATTCATGTATATACATGTATATAATTAATAAAAATTATTCATAGAGGTATACACATACATTATTCATAGAGGTGGCGGATCAAACCGAGTCGAAATTGGCAAAATGAGTATTTTCTGTTTATTTTAGATTTACTTTAAAAAGACGAATTAAATGATTTGGCTTTGACGTTCATAGAAAATGATATAGTTAATATCGCCGCAGCATCTTGCCCCCCCCCCCCCCCGCGTTGCTTCCATCGGTTCATAGGCGATCCTTGAACAATATTAAATACGTTTCTCCTTTATAACTCTTTCTCTATCAAAATTAAGGTAAAGTAATCTCAGTGTCAAGAGGACTATCTGGAGTGCCAAGAAACTTTTAACTCACAGGTTTATTTTTATTAATATTTATTTAACAAAACACGATACATACAAGTACATATAAATAACAATAGATAACATGATTAAAATAATTTGAACTTTTTACAAAATAACAGAATACATACATATAATTGAAATTAAGTTAGTCAATTTAATGAAATAATATACTCATGAAATGCATATTATAGAATGTCTGAAATTGAATTTTTTTAATTAAGATTCGATGCATTATTTTCTGCACAAATGTCCATTCTACTACTATGAAATCCAAGTATTATTTTGTCCGGTATACATTATTGTGTACTAAGGAATTTCATTATCTACCGACTACAAGCAGTATAATTTGATTTATAAATATTCATCGAGCTTGACGTTTTCATTATCACTTCGAATTCACAATCCGTTCCTATCGGTATAGTCGGTCCTCAAAGTGTTAACAACTCGTGTCATTTTATATAATTAATGAGCGAAAATTAAATAACTGTATGTATAACTCTTCGATACGACGTGGCTATCAGTTGCAGGAAAAATAATACATTTTCTAACACGATAATGTAGATACACAACTTGTAAGTTATTTCGTTCAATAAGCTTACAAGTTTTTTTCTTTCAAATAAAGATTAGGTCGCTTTATTTACAAAATGATATAATTCATATCGTAATAACTTAGAATTCTATAGCATTAATGGCGAAATTAGATCGATCATTTTGTTTTAAATATATTGTATATATACACATATAATTAAAATAATTTCCTTTGTTTTCATTATAGCTTACTTCTGGTTAGTTCTTATTTTAGCCGTATTTCAGTAAACAATTTTCACGAATACAATAAATAACAATAAATTAAACT